TAGAAGTTTTCACACCGTTACAATCGCTCAAGAATCCATCAAATAATTCCATTGCTTTTTCAATTGAACCATTGACTTCGTATCGTATCGCATACGGGAACATCAGATATCGACTCATACTGAAAGCGCGAATCGAGAAATATTACAGCGATGATACGCCCAGCTAAATGAAAAAAACTGCGGCAAATTCGATCGTCAGAACAGGTTGCAGGCAAAAAATGAAAGTTATTTGAAATGGTTTGAACTCACTCGGGATCCCAAATGTCCGAAACAGTGTAGCCCAATTTTTTGTAGTTTTCCGTTAACCACTCTTGCATTCCTTTCTGCAACAAACATGAAAATGATAATAGTGCAAAAAGCAATAGAAGATCCAATGTTAATAACTACGAAACTCATAAAGAGCACGTCTAAATGGATGAGTTATTAAACAGTCACATACCTTAAAGAGTGGATAATCCGGACCATCCATGAAATATTTCTCCATTCTGTCGATAACACCTTGTGTGATTTTGAATATTGCGTAACTGTCATTGCCTGGTATTATTGTTGAAATCAAATCGAGCGTTTTCTTGAACGAGAACGGCTTGCCAAGCTCTTCGTTATGTCTAAAACTTTTATTTTCATCACTGGTCACCTGAACTACTCTCAACTGAATATGTTCCCCCGAGTTTGGCTCATGCTGCTCAACATTCATCATTTCTCAATTGTCATCTCTTCTCAAAATGTCGCCGAAACATAAAATGACTACACAGCTTCTGATCTTCAGATCACTAAATTCAGATCTTCGGATCACAGATCACAACTCTGTTTAGTCTCAAATGTAATATCGACATCAGACTTCATTGTTCGGGTTTTGAATCGACCTGGTTCAATGTATCGATATAAACTCGACTAACTTAGCAAATGCCAACTGATCAGCAATCAGAATGACTTTATCATCAATGCCAAAATCTTTGTCACGCCTCGTTTTCAGTTGTTTCATAAGTCGTGCATAAGCAACATCGTCGTATTCGACCCGCATGAATGTCTTTGAATCTGTATTGCCCAAATCCCAATGTAGCGCAAAATTCGTCGGTTCACGTTTAGGTGACAGTGCAGATTTTGATGCTGAGTGCGACGGACAATGGTAGTAATCTGGAAGATATTATTGGCTAATTAAAAGTTTATATGAATAAGTGAGAGCACATATTGAAGATCGCCCACAGAGTGTAACCATCTAAATTGTGGCATTGATATACAACTGGACTTAATACGAATCACAAAGTAACCGAATTTTCTAGTTTCATGAGCTGAAACTATAAATAAATGAACCCAAGACTTATATGTGTCCTAAGTATCAGTCATGGACGAGTTCGCAATCTGCAGTATCCTATTGATTTGACGTTTCAGTTCCAGATCGTTGACTAATAATCTGCTGGGATGAATCACTGATTGGTCTATTAACTGAACGATCAACACTGTATTCAATTTGATTCATTCGCCTTAAATTCAGTGCCCAAGGGGCGATTTATTGTAAATGATAGTGGGAAAAGAGCTGAAAATTAAATAAACCTGGTATCATCCATTTGAGTTTAGTTGTGTGATCGATATGATAAGTTCTGTAATTCTTCCAAAAGAACGGGATTGGCCAGGAATAATTGTACTGTGTATTGTTGGGCAAACGTGAAATCTCGTTGAACGGTTGTTGCGTCACCGTGAAATCACTCATCGGCTTATTGTTGGTCAACGTTACGACTGGGAAGCACTTCAAATAGCGACAATTTCAGTTAAACTATTGCACCACTTAATTACGTGCAATCCAAATCATTCTGCGCTTAAATCAATCCACCGACGTGATTTTCACTCTGATCTAATGATGTTAATGCCGAAATCTATTGTGATTCTTTCAGCTGCTTCAGTGCCGATGAAATAATGTGTTACTGT